CCCTCCTACTTGCACTTTCGGCTCTCTCGCGGGCAGACGGTCGACTCGTAAGGGCAGAATGTCCGCGAAAGCAGGCCTGATATCACGTAACGTGCTTTTTCCGTGGCCAGGATTATTCGTTCCGTTTTGTTCTTCACAGGTCTCCACCACCAAAAAATAGAATGGAAATGGGCATTTTCGCTCTGACAAACACAAATCTATTCGTACCTAATGCTAATTTCAGGTTTAATATTTTAAGTTGAGTTGATCTGATGCGTTTTAAAAAGTGCAGTGTCTCAAAGCATAGCCCCCTACTCTTTTCTTTATTTGGGAGAGACGGAAAATAAGATGCACTTAAAATGAAGTAATCTTTATGTTACAGGGAAATGACCTTTGACTTCATATTAGCCACAAAAGCGCTTGTAATAATGACTAATTCCACTAACTTCACTAATCACACGCCTCGCAAACGACTATTCTAAATAATGCTCAAGTTACTGTAGGAATTGACGTCGGGAGAGAGAACGGAGCCGTGATCGCCATAAAAACGTTGAAGGGGCTCTTCCTTGTTTTACTAAATAGAACATTTTTCTACTCCCTGTAATTCTGTCATTTGATGGCCGCAACCAGTTGCATAGTGATCCATATTACCATAAAGGTTCATGTCTAATCACAGAGAGTTTACAAACGAAGTATTGACACTAATCATTGAGAATCGTTCTAGTAAAAGTTTCGTTCGAGTGTGTACATTGAAATTGCATGTAATATTATATTATGTTTGTCAGCTTTAATTTCTTTTATTAGTAGTATTCTTGGTGGAATATAATTTAAAATAAATTGGATTGTAATTTCACTTCGGTCCCATTTGTCTAGCGCAGTACCAAAGCCACATGCGGCAGGTTAGGGTAGGGTAGACAGGGTTAGGGAGCTGTCCGCTAGGTGGCCTTGGCTGAATCCTACACGCCAACTGCCACGAAGCGATTCAATATAAAAGTTACCATACGTCATAGAAAACGTACCGTGTGAAACTCGATTTAATCGATATTAATACACTCGTGTAAAGTGTACGGTACTCGATCGTATCGTAATATCACACTCGTGTATTAATACCATCATTACATCATCATTTCATAATGTACAATTGTTTCATTTCCGTGAATGTTTTCAATATCTGATTTTAACCTGACAATATGAGAAACTGTTACACCATTGTGAAATTAACTAAAAAAATGCGGTTTAACATACTTGTAAAGCTATTGTTTAATTGCAGATGTAATTTCATTTTCCTCGTATTAAATTTTATTTAATTCTATTAAAATATGCCGTATGTAAGTAAAACTACTGGACCTATGCAGCACATACATTCTAGCATTATCTCTAATATTTACAATTTTCAAAAATTTAGAGTTCAACGAAAACGAGACCTGTGTCGTTCCTTTTTTGCACCCGTTGGCCCATTCCTGGAAGGAAAATGGAGCGGTTTTTGAGAAAATTTGCATCAACTGCCAGCAAACATTTCACACACAAAAAATACTATTTTTTCAACAAAAAAACTGTACATGACCTTGTTTAAAGAGCTTATTTTTTAGAAGAGGTTTTATTTAAGACATACATCTCTTTCTTCAAATTTGTAGTTTTGCAACGTTACTTTTGCAAATTTTGAAAATACTTCGCCGGAAATAGGAATGCGTACGTTCTTTTCAGTTTTTTACCACCTTTGATACATACGAAGAGAAAATTTAAAGAAAATATTTGGAGACGTTTTTGAAGAGAAAAAAATCCAAAATTGCCTCAATTTCACACAAACATCAAACCTTACTTCAAGATGTCTTTCAACAACAAACTTGAAGGGTGAAAATCTGTCTTCAATATTGTAGAATGGAAGGAAGTAGCCAACGGCGACATTTTTTGTTGAATTACACAATTTTCGATAAATCAGGAATTTTAACGAGTTAGTCCTGCGCCATTCTTTTAAGCATTTCATTACGTCCGAGGAGACAGATAAATAAAAAAATTGGAGCCGTTTTTGAAATGTTGAATGTTAAGTACCCCCAAAATTAAAATATCCGTTTCAAACTTGAAGGGTTTCAAGCCCCTTCAAATCGATCGGGGACTATCAATTTTGGAGAAAATCGGCTGAACAATTTAATTTAGGCGCCACCAGACGGCTTTAAGCTTGACCAGACGGGCAGACATTTTGTCAATCGATTTTTCAGTATCAAGGAGCCACAAAACAGGATTCTAACTAAACGTGTCAGAGGAAGTAGTAATTTACTATAAATAGGAACAATATTTATATATTTTTCGTTACCAGTGCCGGCCAATAAGAGTTTCTCTGTCGAAAATTCGTTTTCTGGTGCACAATTACAATACTTTCTCCTCTTACGAAAGGTAAGAATTTAAAAAGTTGAATGGAAAAAGGGAAGGCAGCAATGTAGTGCCCCGCCCCCTCTGCAGACTGCGCTGCGCGCTATGAAAATCGGCCAGTCAACAGATTTGTTTTTCTTGCGATGCCCTGGAGAATGTTGACTAACAACTTCGGCATTGTATCTGGCTTCCGGTCCCGTCCTACTACCGCTGAGTAGGAAACGTTTTATCCAGACGCCCCTTAGAAACGTGGTACAATAGAACCTCACTAATCCGAAATTTCGAATAATCTGAACAAAATTCGGGATGGAGGAAAAATAAACAAAATGCTCATTTTTTAGTGTAAAGTAAAGATTTTATAATTACTGTAGAACTGAACAACTAATTATTGAAACAAGTCGAAAGGAAACATTTATTGCACTGGTAACTACGGGGTATATCGCACGTTCATGTAGCCGTAATTTTCACTTAAAGGAACTTGCAAAATCGGATATCTTCTTTTGCCATAAGGAACTGAATCTGATAGATGATGCGACGGGATGATTCGCTTTGCTACGCTACGTTGCCATTTTCTCGCATCGCACGCTACGTTGCATCGCCTGGTAATCCTAAAGATGTATTTGTACAGTTCATTTTTTCGGATAATACGAACATTTCCCAATCCGAACAACTACATCCCCAATTATTCGGATTACCGGAATTCTACTGTACCGCATCCCATTTTTTAATGTCTCATTTTGTCTACATCTATATTTGATTTTTACGGGGCTATAACCAAATGGGTGTTAGATTTTCCTCGAATTTGGCGTGAAAGTAGATATTAAAATAACATATAGGAATTTTTTTGTTCTTAAATTATTTTTTTTATTACAAGTGCCTGTTTTAAGGGTTTCGTTTTAAGTAATGTTCTGCTATTTTCAACGAATCTACTCAACCCGCGAAACTCATTCGCTCCGCATTTCATTGGTAAAATGTGTTAATTACAGATTTACGAGCAATTGCTGAGTAAACCTGCAACATTGTACATTTTTGACAGGTTTTCTCTTTCACACAACTTCGTAAAGGAAGTACCTTACAGGCTTTCAAAGATTTTACTTGTAGCGTAGCTGGGAGCGTTATTTACCTTATTGTGTACGAAACTTTCAAGTCTCGTCCTAACTGTGGTTCATAAATTTTATATTCAAAGATTCCCTTGTTACGCATTTCGAGGGGGAGGGATGCAAACCCCTCAAATAGTTACATCTGATTGAGATACATGGTGACAAAAAAGATGAGAACTCCATTACTTGAATGAGAAATAATGGATTTACTACATTCACTTAGTTCACCATTCAGTCCCATTAAGCATATGTCTCTATTTATCAACCGGTAACACACAAAGCATTTTAAATATTTTTTTATACATAATACAGCAGCGGTAACCGTTTTAAGTCACATTAAGAGCAGTGATCGTACATTCTATCAACTGAGAGAAGCAAGGGCGTTTTCCAGTATCACGGCGACGGCCGATTGTTTGGAAATGTTACTAATCCTTTCCAGAACAGATTGGCAGCCGTAAAATAAAAATTAAAAGAGCGTTCACCACAATTGTAGTACACAACTGAGATGAAGTCATCAGACGCACGGGAGATTTTACGTAGGTATTTGATTACAGCAATTTTTTACTCTCTCTTCAGAGCTTTTGAACACATTCTATCATTCCTATTATCACGACCTCATGATCGCTCCAACTCCGCTCAAATACAATTTTTATTTGAACTCGTCTATAAAATGGCCTGCGGCCCGCGCCGACCAGGATTTCGCGAGCCCCCTCCGCCTCGCGGAAGCGGCCGTAGAGCGTCACGGGGCGCGTACGTGAGCGGGGCCGTTACAGCGCCGGCGCGCGCCACATCAGCGCCCCGACGGCTGACGTCGAAGGTCGCAGTGCGCCGGTGCAGGTCTTGGCCCGGCCCGCCCCTCCTCGAAGGGGAGGGGGCGGTCGCATGTTGCAGGTAACGCACACCATACTGCTCCCAGAAGAGGGCACACTACGTATTTCAAAAACTGTTGCATCCACCTTTTTAATATTCTGTAGTGACCGCTAGAAAGCGCCATTTACAGACATTCGCAACGTATAAAATTAACGCAAATCTTTCGAGTCCGTTTCACTTTCAGGGAAATCCTTGGGCTCTTAAGAGATTTTATTTTTGCATGTCATCGCATGGAAAATCGGTCTTCAGGTGACGGGATCCAAAACTCATACACAAAGATGCGAATTACTAGCAAATTGTTTATTTACGCATTTTTACACAAGCACTTCATAATGAACGTTTCGGATGGAAATAAATCTCATTAACAATCTTGTTTGTGGCTAAAAATCAATCCAGTGAATGATTGTAATTAATGAACAGGAACGTCACCAGGTTCACAATCATTCACCAGACTGAATATGGAAAAAAATGAAAATGATTCAAGTGGCTGAAACAACTTGGCCAGGCTCATCATTATTTTGCTTTTTTGGGAGTCTTTTGTGAACAGGTCATTAGGTTCTACTAGAAAAAAAAATTAAGGTTCGGCTTGAAGCCACTCCCAAAACTTATGGATAAAATGTGGTGCAAAATGCATTCTCAAACTCAGCCTCAAGAAACATAATACTGGATTTTGAGCATGGCCTTTCTGGCTCGATTTCCAAAAGTAGCACTTCCTTCCCTTATGAAACCTGAGATTGTGAGTTGTGTACTAACTAGATGGTTCAATACAGGAAAAATTCAGATGTTAATGGTACAAGTGTTTGGCTGTTCCAAAAAGACCATGCATCTCAGCCTATTTCAGTCAATCTGCAAGAAGTATGCATAAATCCTCTCAAAATCACTTAATGGTTACAAATAAAAAGATTTTACATCATGCTTAAAAATGACAGAGCTCACTACATTACACATTTCCTAAATTCTGACTGAATGTTTGGTAGTCAAGTTATCTCCCCTACCTTCTCTATTTCCCATAAAATGTCTGGGCCTTCCCACTCCAGATAAACATTTTCTTCTGAAGTAGTTAAATTGGACAATGATACATTTTTTTTCTTCAAGATGTGAAAATTGAAATGTTAATCTATTAGTCCTTCCTTGCATTTGTTTTTATTCCAGTTGTTTCGCATACTATACAAATCCAGGTCTTAAATTAAAACCTCATAACAAAAATGTGAGGGATCTAATTAAACATTTCTGCTTGCAATCAGAAAAATTATTACACAGTAACACTTTTAAGAACAAACACTATGAGATGAAAGATAAATAAATAAAAAATCATTTGCAATTGAACACCTGTTCAAAAATTAATCAGATATATTGAGCACAAAATGGATTTTAAATTAGAAAATAACTTAGCTAACAGAATACTTATATTCAAAGTATGTAAAACACTAAAGAGTGCATGCAAAAAATAAAAACATGCAATCCACCAAAGCTTTGTACTGCTGTGTAAACCTATTTTGAAATCATTTGTTTCCTTCCTTCATACCACGTACTAAAAAATACCAGAGTTGTATGTTTGGCATTTCTATTCATTAAGCCCAAGATTGCCACAAGCATTTACAAGGCAATAAAACCAAATTTATAAACAAACAATAATTTGCAATTAAAATAATTTGGGCACACCCTTACAGTAACTTCTCCATGGACTATTTTTCCTGGAGAACATATTTCAAAATACACTATAAAAGATCCCACTCCATCTCAGTTTAGAAAAGTGAAACAGTACTATTTACAATCTCTAGGATCTGGATTAAATAAAGGATAGATAACTGAAGATAACAACAAAAATACTCTATATTCATCACTGATGGAACTGCATCCTATTATTGCACATTAGAAGCAACAGAAATTCCAAAAATAATCACCAAATTTGAACATGAAGCTTGTTTCTTATTAATTAACATGAGTTATGTGTATACGATCATATTCGCAAAAAATGTGCCACACCACATAAAACACGAAAAAAATGTGAAAAAAGTATTAACCACTGTGGAATTTTCCACTTGAAGCACAGATTAAAACAGCCAAATTATGAACTCAAACCACATACGTATGTCTTCATAACCCCCCAAGCAAGGAACTGACAGTAATTTACATTTTATATGATAATAGGGAAGGCCAAGATAATACTTATGTTTGAGGAGACTGATGGAGAAATGGAAAGAACAGAAAATCCGCAATTAATTTCAGATTTGAACTGCATAAATAACTTGTTTGTTTGTGTATTATTTCAGTGTTTATTAACAAGTTTCACAAATAGTACGATTACACAAGTTCCACTTTAAAATGGAAAAATCCGAAGAAAATGTACAATATGGGAAAAACCATACATGATCCAAACTTTGGCCTCAAAATTCAAAGCTTGGAACCATGCTTCCTCATCTCCTCCTTTTAGCATTGAAATAAGCGAATGAACCTCGGTGCAAGTCCATTCTGTAACGGCCAGCAGAGATGAGAGGGAATGGGGACAGGAAATGCTACAAAAGGAAATAAATGGAATTACAAGATGGCGGTGAGAAATAAGCAAGGAAGGGCTGGAAGGAAGGAGCGTGATTTACTACCTAGAAGTGTCCATCGTTTGCAGACATGTTGAGGACTTGCCCAATAGGCAATAAAGAAAGGGAGAGGAGGAACTTCCTGTGACCGGACTCAAAGAAAACCCAAATCCCTGCGTAGCTTCACTGCTTAGAAATTCAAACAGTTCTTTCTTGCTTTCTTTACAATGCTCACTTAAAAAAAAAACACCTAGATCAACACCATGAAATCATTTTATCATTCAAATATATGTGCAAATAATTCAAAGGGAGGAACAACTATTAAATAAGTGTACCTTATCCCTTAAACTCCTTTTAAACAAAGAAAGAGGTGGAGTTTGAGACATTGTTAACAATGGCCAGAACAGAACACCAGTGTCAGGAAGTCCCTTTTTAAGTTGTTTGAATCATGTTTTCTTTCTTTAGTTCTATTCTTTTTAGAAAATTTTACGGACAGCTGATTTTGCAGAGCCAGGCCGTTGGTGAGGTTGAGGGCATCACATGGCATACTTGCGTGTCCACTCCCTCGCAAGTTCATTGTATTTTTCCCTATCGGTCTTGTATATCCTCGCTATTTCTGGCACTAATGGATCATCTGGGTTTGGATCACACAACAGAGAGCAGATGGACAATAGAACTGCAAACAAGAGATAGAATCTTGCAATACACTACAAAACAACAACAACAACAAAAAAAAAAAACCTATTTAAAAATTTAAAATATTCAAACATACCTTTAGAAATTGTGAGTGCAGGTGACCACTGCGATCTCAATATATCCAAACAAATGCTACCATTACTATTAATGTTTGGGTGATAAATTCTGGTTGTAAATGCCACCTGAAAATCAACAATATCTAGTAGTAATCCATTGTATGGACTGTCATCTTTACACGAGAAACTTGCTTTAAGTTAGCACTTGATTTATATAATTTCATGATTATGCTTCTACTATTAAGAAACTAGAAATAACAGCAAGTTATAAAATGAATGTGAAAAAGCAAAACCACTTGAATTAACATACTGGGACAAGTACAAGAACATCTGATAGTGTTTGACACACACCTCATTTTCTATGTAACACAATTAAACAAAAAGAAAAAAAAAAAAAAATTAAAATCCTAAGTATTTTGAGTACTTGGTTTTACACATGTTGCTACAAGGCTCCCTTTTGATTTCTGTGTTGCAAACATTATTATACAAAACACTATGCTATGATATTCCCAGGATCATCCCAATACAAAATCTACAGAAAAAATGTGCTTACCTTAGGAGGTTTGAAAGGATAATCTGTGGGAAAGTGTATAGTTAAAAAAAATACTCCTCCTTGGTATGGACTATCCGGCTGAAAATGAAAAAACAATGAATTAATGCCTCTACAATTGTAAAGTTAATTTGTAACAAATAGCACATTGTATTTTAATTTCTTACATATGCATCAGCAAAATAGAAATTGAAGTATCTAGAATGAACAAACAAATACTCACTGGCCCCATAATTGTTGCCTGCCAATGGAATACTGAAAAGCAAAAAAATAGAAAAAGCTTGAATACACAGAAATGGGAACAGCAAGTTATTGAAATAAAACATTTGTGGGCTCCAGTTCCTAATCCATAAATGCACACCAATTAAATTCTTTTACACTAATACGCTATCCAGACAGTTACCACAATGGCTTTACGCACAAAAGGAAGACTCTTCTCCAATTCACATGTAAGATTGTAACTGATCACTTTGCTGAATAATGAATTCAAGGGAAAAACAGTACGCATTTGGAACTTTCATTACGTCAGTTTCTTACAATAATCCACAACATTGGCCATAAAATTTGCAAGGTCTAACCAACTAATTGAAAATATAATGTCGTTCAACTCACAGTCATCTCCAACTGGGCCAGCTGAACACTGTGCGGGTGGGTCTCTGCCCAGGTCTTGCAATTCCTGTAATAGAAATTGTAACGAACTTTCACGAAGTATCTTTCACACACAAGAACTAACACTTCACTTTTGACAAAACCCAATAACAATAATTTTCATTTTATAGCCAAATATATATGAAATCAGAAACGCTTATCAGAAATGTTCACAATCACCAAGGGGCAAAAAGTCCTGAACTCAAAAATATGATTCCTTACAAAAGAGAAAAATTGAATTATAGTTGCATGTTTTTGTATACCATAACAATAAATAATGAGACGGCCACAAGAAATAACAAGAAAGCAATGAAATGTTTTCTCATGCAAGTGCAAGGAAGAGCATGAAGTAATGCCTAGACTTCCAGTATTTTCACAAAATGTATATTATACACATCAATTGCTTTCAATTAACGTTGACCATGACATACAATACATGCAAGATTGAGATTCACAACACTTAATTTATCTACTTCCTGCTTTCTATACACCCTTTTACAGCATGCCACACTTGGTTCTACAGTTCTTATTTTATCCACAATGAATCACTCATATCAAACACGTTGAAATCACTGTATTCACGACACCCCAACAACACACAAGACATAGACGAAATTGTAATATTTTTCATCGCTGCCATCTCAAATACGATGTTAAGATGTTCAATGTTCACATTGTAAGGTAGAAAATCGTTAAGGGCGTTTAGCTGATTCGCTTCACTAGTATCTCTCACATACGAAACCACAAACTTCAAAATAGAAACATAATAGAATTATTTACCTTATTAATTCGTTTTAAAGCCATTTGACGGCCTGTGTATAGTAAATTACTGGTTTAAAACCAGACAATGAAACCGCTATCCGAAGACCTTTGATTGGGTAATGTAAGATGGCTGCTCCTGAACGCAATACAACGCAAGCAAATTACACGATGGTTGAAGTACATTGTATTTATATTTCAAGTATATATTTTAACAATATACTACTAGAAATTACTAATTTTTATTTTAGTTCTAATTTTGTAATTAAAATGTCATAATATTTCACAATCCATTTTTATAAGTAATGAAGTCCAATAATACCATGACTTCCTTCGTCATTGAACTTCCACGGACTTCCTCTGATTCATTGCGTACTTTGTATTTTGGACGTGGGATAGCGCTTCATTCACTTTCGTGGCTGGCAAGACTCGAATCGTTTTATTAAAACGCCAGTAGATAGCAGAGTGTGGCTCATGACGATCGAAGTGACGATCTTTCCCCGTCTAGTTCAAATATGGGTAGTTAAAATTATTTGTGTTAAGTATAGTTCATCATAATTTTCACCATTTGCCCTTCTATAAACCTCGGCCGAAATATGTTCGCGTCACATCAGGATTTCTAAGGTAAATACAGAGCAAAGAAATTTTAGTAGTTACTGAATAATTGCTGACAACAATGCAAATGTAGTTACCTAGATTAGGAAAAGCAATGGGCATTATTGACAAAAGAATAGTGTGATAAAAAACTTTGAATTTTTTTAAACAATATATTTGATGCTAAGGAAAGTATTCATTTTGAATTAGTTGAGTGCTTATGTCTCACTATGTTGATAAAGCATTCTTTCAAATAATTCAGGATTTTTTACAAGCATGTATTCAAATACTAACATAGAAAATAAATATGGAATACTATTCTTTTGCTCTTATTGCTTTATAAATTACAATTAAGATAAAGAGACAATTTTCTTCTAAATAACGTGGTCTGGTACAATTTGTTGTATATGCATTATATCTGCTAGTAAATATCAGATGTATTTTTCAATGTAGGCACTGAATGAAAATTGTTTTGTCTAATTGTTTCTTCTCATATGTTATTTTATTGTTATAAAAGCTTAAAATTTATATATATCATGAATTCTATTTTCTGATCATTTATCACAAACAAAATTAATAAATTTGAAAAAATACACATATTTTTGGATTTGTTTTTTAATTGTGATCAAGTATTTAATATTCTTTTATGATTTTAACTTTAGAATTGTTTTTCCATTTGATTGTTTCATAATTTGTGTATAAATTGTAAAATGCTAGCATGTCCAAACTACAATTTATTTCAAAATTGTTCTGAGCAGCTAAAAGTGAAAGAAATAATGTAAATCAAAGCATTATTGTCGAATATTCAGACATTAATATTCAACAGTTGATGAAGAAATGAATGCATTAGGCTCATCCTCATGTATTATACATTGAGATTTTAAAAATAATACATTTTCTACAACTCAAGTATTATTGTAAATATGACTTAATTTCTATTTATTATAAGAAATTCAGAATGCCCTATGAGAATAGTTTTCAAGTAATTTTATAATAAGTTATATCATTTTTAATGACATGAAAAAAAGTGCAATGAAGATATTTTACTTCAGATTTACATTCTTTACGTTAAGTAATTGTTGAAGTTGAGATGGGCTATGTAATCTTTCCTGTTGATTCTGTAAAAAGAAATCAAAAAAGATTTAAAGCAGAATAAGTACAATAAAATATATTTGAGTTTTGATTGGAAGTAACAAGGGCCAATGTTTTGCATTCTGAGGCAATGTTGGCTTACACAGAAAAATTGGGGTTTCTTTCTCTTAGTGCTTGGGAATAGTAGCTTTCTCTTAGTGGAGGGAATTTTTTGTCTCTTTCTTCACCATTGGGTAAAGATTCGACCTTGTTTCTTTTGCGTGTGATCAAATATATGTCTTTATGTCATGACATTTAATAAATTAAGTTTTCTAGTGAAATTATTCTTTTTAAAGTTGATTTAACTCAAATGTTTGTTGATTACACAATGGAAGTAAAGTTATCATATTTAACATTGGTACTTTTTTAGATTACATGGGTGAGATTTGTAGTAAGTAGCTCTCTTAAATTTCTAGTGTTGTTTTGAATTTATGATTAATTATTTTAAATATATTTATAAAGTAATGCTTAATACAGAAAAAAATGTGTATCCCAAACTGATTCTTATATAAACAAAAATCCCTTAATGTATTGTTACTTTAGGTACAGGAATAGCAGAATGTATTAATTTAATGGGATTAAACCCTGGCAGTTCCAACAAGAGTCCTAACTATACAGACATGAAAATATAGTATGGAATTTGGAGTCTAAGGGATACGTTTTTATATCCAAGTTTGTGTAAGAAAAAAATCATTTATAGATCATCACTTTATACTTACAAGCATTAATTACGAATTTAAAGCACTGTACTACTTGCAGCAAAGCACTATAATACTTGACACTATTTTTACCCCAATACAATTTTCCTTTTTCCCTTGGGTTTAAACCATCTAGAGGTCCAATACAATTGAGAGCTGCTGTATTTCTGAGTGGTTTTCTTTTCCCCTATTCCTTTGAGAAGATAATTACATGCCAAACAGTTATATTTTTAATTTTTTATTGTAATAACTGATTGTTTCAATAATTTAGAGTTAGAAATTTTTCTTTCAAGAGTTCAATGTTTATTTTCATAGAAAAATATTTTGATCACATCATAATCTATCAGGATTTTTAAAATAATTGCCAGATTGCTTAACAAAAATTTTATTACATTTTCTTCCGTTAGAAGGAGGAATGGAACTCAGTGTTACACAAAAATACTTCATACATATGAGTCAAGTCCTTAATTATCGGTGGTAATAATAATATTAGGAGACACAAGTTTGCCATTTTCTTTCTCACATTCTATGTTCATAATAAAGAGAAAATATTGTAATTAACATTTAAATAATAATGTAAATACTGCAGAAAAAGTAGATTTTTTCGTCAGAAACTCATTGTGGAACCCTAGCAACAAAAAAGTGATCCTACATGTAGTAAATTACTTCCTCTAACACTTTGTATAGTCAGAATCCACGTTTTGTGGGTCTTTGTTACAGAAAAATTGGCATATTGTATGTCTGCCCGTTAGTCGGTCCATCTGTGGTGAATGCCAGCGCTTAAACCGTGCAGACGATTTTTTCCAAAAATTGACACTCCCGGAACCCTGATAGATCTGGGCGAAATCGAGGCCCCCGAATTTTAAAAGGATATATTGATTTTTTATTACAACAACTCTTAATATTTTAAAAATTTTCTCAAATATGGCTCGAAATATTTGGTTTTAAGTAGCGTTGACTCGACTGGAGAAAATGTCGTTTTACTAAATGGAGCAAGTCTCATTTCGTTCTCCTAAACCTTCAAGAATTGACAAACGTTAATTTTTTCTCTGCGTGCCCCTACAACTACAACATTAAAGATAGAAATATTTTTTTCTTTTTGAAAGCTGTTTTCAAATATCTTCAAATAAGGTCATGTACAATAAAAAACAAACGAGTGTATGGAAAATAAGAGAGTCAAACCAGCGGGGCACCGCACTAGCCGGGACGAGCTCTAAGCTTCCGACTGAGCTCCCAACTTGTGTGGTAGCGTAGGGCGTGCAAGGAGGAAGGAGGGCGTGGCTCCGGCATTCGCCTGCGGTTGACCGGGGAAACGAATTCGACCTAGCTAATCCCTCTGACTAGTATGTAACCTTAGGGAGAGGCACTGCAGAGAAGCATATCTATTTTCGATTAACTCTCCGTGTTTTGGAAATAGAAAAAAAAAGAAAAAAAAAGCAAAAGTACAAAATTGATGGTAATATTGATGAATTGATAGTTTTCCTTTAATGAAATCTGTGTCAAAAAAGTATATCTTTAAATAAGATCGTAAAAAAATCACTGTAAAAACGAGTAGTTTTCGCGTTTTGTTCTTGGTGTAAGGCGTTTTTAAAATGGCTCATGTTTTTTATTTTGATTATTTCATCGAGATAGAGCAAGAATTTACGGCAAAAACTGATCCTATTTGTACATTAAAGGGAGTGTTGACTCCGATGGGGCGCAGGCGCTAGGCGCGCAACGTCCTCACCCGAACGGGTGCAAGGGCCATACACTTGTGCCAAATAACCTTTTGCGGGCCACCACTTGGACAACCCTGCTGTAGAAGGGTTCAATGTTTCAAAATCCCAGGCTCCAGCGTTTTCGAATAGTCTATTTGAAAATAAATCGATAAGAGGAAGCCAGATATCATGTGCGGTTTGAACTAGCTTACTAATTTAATCTCATCTCGAAGCAGAAGCGTTTGGAAGACCCTTTTCAATTTCTCGCTACCGCATACCCAGTGGAGAAAAAGTTATGTAAAGCTGTGAAAAACTAGTGGTGCTAAACTGGCCTGTGCTTTCTCGCACGTACTTTCACGCAAAATTACGCGAAAAGTACTAAAAGCTTCGAAAAATTGAACACCACCTTATTTGTAAAATCTATCTTTAAGGAACAGATTTCATTAAGGGAAAAATATCTATTATAATATTTTTGTTGTAGGAAGGCCCCGAAAAAAAATTGAACTTTGCAATTTTCGAAAAATCAGGATTTTCTGCGAACATTTAACCTGCACCATTATCGTAAACATCCTTTACATTATATAACATTAGATGATAATGGAGCCATTTTTTTGAAAACTTGGAAAATGTCCCAGGGACTTCATGTAAAATATCCTCCAAAATTAAAATATCGGTATCAAATTCAAGGGGCCGCTACATCAGCTAGATCAAAACGAGAGTATCAATTTATAAGAAAATCGGATGAACGGTTTAGTCGCTAGCGTTGTTCACAGGACAGATAGACAGACGGCTCATAGACGGATGGACAGACATTTTGCCGTCATTCGATTTTTCAGTATCAAGGGCGTACAAAACATGAATTTTGGTTATACCACGTGATACAGAATTTCCTTCCTAAATTCAGCAATTGGAATTATCTACTTTTTCGTTACCAGGGCTCTGTAATGAAAGTTTTTCTGCCGAAAATTCGGCGTTTTTTCGCGCAGCATTACATATCTTGCTCTCTACTCCGTAGCGAGAACGTAAAACGGCAAATTTTCGGAAAAAAATTCTCATTGCTGGTCCCTGATAACGAAAAAGGGGATAAATCCAGTTGCTAAATTTAGGGGGGGGGGATACTGTAAAACGAGCTGTAGTAAGAATACATGTGTTGTGGATCCTTGATACCGAAAAATCGATTGACTGTAAAACGTCGGTCTATCTG